CGGCTGATTTCCAAGCGCGCGGGACAAAACCTGTCAGCGCAATACACTGAAAGAGGACCTTTACGTGTCGTTTGACTTGCTCCCAAATCATTCTCCAAACCCAGTTCTGAATTCCATCAGGGCCTGGGGCTTTCATTGGTGGGCTGCCGTTGACGACTGATTTTAGCGTTTCATGAGTGATTGATGAGTGAAATGTTGGCGTGATTTTGATTGTTGAGCGTTGGTCGTTCCCTATTGGGAATGCAAGATGGGCTGTATCCTCTAGCTGACACGGAGCCGTGGCTACACATGTGGCCGAGAATAGCGCTGATGCCTTCTCTTCGTTCGTGGCGCAAGTTTTCCCATCAGGAGTGATGATGGTACTAACCAGGGATGATGGCTTCCTTCCAGAGGCTGCTCGCTTGGCTTGGAAGAGGGTCTGGTGGTCTAGACCTGACAGGTAGAGTCGCCAGGAGTTCTCTTTTGCTTTGTCGATTGCTTGATTAAATTTGTTACGGGCTTTTTTGTAGGCCGATCTTGCTTCTTCCGTCCTCTCTTTCTTGAGTGTCCGCCTTAGTCGAGTTGCCTCTTTACGCAGGGGTTCGAGGATTTCGGGCTTCCACCACTCCTTGTGCTTGCCAGATGTGGATTTCCGTGGAGAGTGTTCGTTGAGGGCCGCGAGGACTGTGTCCCGTAGTTCCTGATCAAAGTCTTCCACGTCCTCTCTGGAGAGTAGAGGGCGTAGCTTTGGGAGGCTTTGAGCTATCTCAGTTTGTAGCGAGATTGGACATACCTTGTGCCAGTTCTTACGCTTGTCGTCGGTGGGATGGTGTGGTGTGACTGTTTGTTTCGTGTTGAAGGTCGTGATGATAGATTGGTGGTCGGAGTTGTGGTTGGTCAGGTCATCTTCGTCGATGAAGCACGTGATCGTGGCTTCATCAAAGGATTCGTTGGCCCATACCAGGTCGATTGAGGTACCTGAGGTATTTGCCGATCCTACACCGAAGGTGGGCCTACCCTTTGGTGAGCGCAGGTTAAGGCCCCACTCCAGCATTAGGTCAATCAAACACGCCGCGTCTTTGTCGTCTGTTGTGCTGTGCGTGGGGTTCCATAAGGGTGAGTGGAGGTTGGAGTCGGTGGTACAGACTGTTGGGAGGCGCTGGAGCTCGGAGGGTATGAATTTCATCATGTCTTCAAAAGCTTCAAAACCTATGAATGTAGATGGTTGGTTGTACACATTAGCTAAGAGAAAGGTAAAGTCTCCAATTGTGATTACGCATGCTGCGAGATCACGGGAGGGTGAGTGGATGGGGTTGAGCTTAGCCCCGAGGTCCTGTCTTATGTACAAGCAAGCTCGAGGTCTGTCGTCTCTGGAAAGTGTTTTTGGGACTGGGCTAACAAGTGTCCAGCCCTTCTGGTTAGGGGGAAGGTTGTCAAAGGGGTTCGGCCATGGTTCTTGGATGGCTATGATGGAAAAAAGGTTGGTGATGGATGAATTAAAAAGGGAGTTCATGATGTGTTTTGATCGCCAGCAATTCAGCTGTAGTATTGCGGCTGTGTCTTTAATATTGAGTTGTTCCTTCAATCGTTGTATCAACATTGATTGGAGGATTCTGGTTGGTCAATGACGATGAGGTGAGAGGATTCCTCTTGCCTCCTTGGGATCTGATTCCCGATCCTTGTCGAGCAAGTGATCGAGAATGGGTGGTGTAAGAACCCTTGGTGGTTGTCTTTGAAGAGACGGGGAAGGTTTGCCTGAGGGTCAGCTTTGAGCTTGCCTCTTGCACACGCAGTGCATTTTAGAGGGAGGGTGCCCTTTACCGGGCAGCTGTGAGCTAAGTGGGGCCCTGCGCACGTAGGGCACATAGGCGGGATGGGGCACGCGGATGCGGTGTGCCCAACACCCTGACAGTTGTAGCAGCGAGTAGGTGGAGGCCCACTCAGTTCGGTGCGATGCCTGCCTCTGCCTTGCCAGACCTTGGTGCGAGCGGCATGAGATGCCTGTTCAAGGGTTTTGAAGCCGATGAGGAGGGATGAGTGTTTCTTCAATGGGTCCTCTGAAGTGTCTTTCTTCAGCCACCTGACGAAGAGAGCTTCATCAAGTAGAGAGCCATTGCACGTCTTAAGGAGATCAATATCCTCCTGACGAGTGGGGTTGAAGGTGGTCGGGATCCCGTGGACGATGATGGAGTAGATCTCCTGTTTGATTGAGAGATTGGCCGATATCTTTGGTAACCAGGCCTCAGCCTGCGCCTTCAGGGCTTGGGCTTGTTTCTGGTTGTCTGTGTATAAGACCAGATTGCCAGAGGGGTGGCGATGGACGTTCCTGATCTCGATCTCGTTCGGGTCATCTGGCTTGAGTTTTATTTTATTCGTCTTTAGTTGGACGTTAAAATACTTGATCAGCTCAGGAATCGATTTCTCACTACCAGCTATATTTGCTGGGTCAAGCTGGTTGAGCGTGATGGAGTGGTCCGGGCGGTTCTTGGGGGTGGCTCTGGGCGGTTGGCGATTCGTCTTTGCAGACTGAGGTTGTTGTTGTTGGGGTGCGTGCTTGGACTCGGCTGAGGCGTATGATTTGCCCGTCGGTTGTTGGTTCGTGGTTTTTTGGCCCGTGGGAGAAGCTGTTCCCAGTTTTGCCAGTTGTTCTACAACCAGGTCCAACTTGTCTGATATAGTTGAGACTCGGAAGTCGAATTGAGAGGAGGGGGAGATGGAGGGGTTGGGGTTGGTCTGGCGACCTGGTTCGAAAACCACGCGCCTGGCCTCATTGATACTGGCCTGTTCTTGGATCAGGCCGGCCAAGAGTAGGATGTCGGCTGCTGAGTCAACATCTACCTTGACCGACTTGCTCGACTTGAGCTTTGGGATCAGGGTGGCCTTTGACACCTCTATGAGCCGTTTGATAAGGACAGTGATGGGCTTGGAGCAGGGATCTGAGCCCCCAGGGAAGAGCTTTGCGATACGAGCCGACCTGGGGGTGCTCGTGATCTCGTCCACCTCATCCAGCGTGCTAGGAGTGGGGGCTACGGTTCGAGTCCGTTTCCTTGACTTTTCCGCAGGAGTCGATGTGGCCGATGTGGGGCCAATCAGAGCATCCGGGGGGATGACTGCCTTCTGCAGACCAGAAGGAGGGCGTGGGGTGAGGGTGAGCGTCTTGGATTGACCCGTCAGGTCAGACGCCACCACCGCTTCGTCGGTCGTAGACTGATCGTCCATAGGAGCCAGTCCGTCCTGCCGATCCAGGTCAGGCGGGTCGCCGTCCATCCTATCGTCCATGCTGAGACCAAGCTATGGATCGAGAGCGATAAAGGAGGAGAGAGAGAGATAAGAGGTGGGGGATTTGATGATGAAGCTGAAAAAGTTAGGATAATGAGAAAAAATCTGTGGATGGCTGCTTGCGCAGTCACGGAGGTGGTCACGTGACTAAATTTGAAAATTTGGTTCGGGACAGAATCCTCATTTTTACAAGTCAATGGCTTACCAAGATGAAACACCTTGATTTCTAGCATATACACATTTATCCCTGCAATTGATACACCCCATCTCTTCTGTTTCACTCAGCAGGATCTTACCAGGTCAGAAGAAGGTATGTGATCTATGAAAAAAGGCTTTGTGGTTTAGAAGGTTCTACATGCCAAAATAAGGCTCTTAATGCTTTTTGACTACTTGGAGCCAAATTGGCCAAAGCATTGAGCCTTTGAGAAATGTTTGCTGTGGAATTGGAGTGAGGGCAGAAAACCCTCTACACCACAAGGACATTCGGATGTCCTTGGGATGCCCGTTTTTTTTTGCAGGCGGACGGGCGTCCTGACGGAGCGCTCTGCAAGACTCTGCCTCGGACATCGGAGGTCGGACTTCCAAAATTGGTCCGTAGGCAGGCCTGATGAACCCCTGGTGAGAGATCTGTCGGCATCGGGGAGGGCTGTCGTGAGGACGCCAGCAGCGGAGATATCCCAAGGAAAGCTTCACGCTACCCTTCAAGGATCGCTCCTGACATTTTCGGGAGACGCGTCAGACTCTCTGTAGATGACCGGCTGGAGGCATCTACAGGACAATCTATATGGTGTCTTCAAGACATCAGGGGCTCTCAAACCTGACCCGGTTTCAAAAAACCCAGTTGACCCAGTTGACTTTTTGGCTGGGAGCTGTCAATAAATGTCAAATTTATATACAAAGTTACTGCCAAAAAGTCAACTGGGTCAACTGGGTTTTTGAAAACCGGGTCAGGTTTGAGAGCCCCTATCGTTTTTTTTTTTGACTATAAATCAATAGTAACGGTTCTTCGGGTTTTCACTTTGACTTGATCAGTGAAGATGAAATCTGACATAGATACTCGATTGCTGCAGTTTGCTATATAAACATGCGATGAGAATAGTAAATGAGATGAAAGGTAGAATAAGAACCAACGATAAAAATTGTATGTACACTATTATACAATTTGAAGACTATTCGGGGAAACAGAGAGCATAGAAGAGATACGAGAAGACTGGATAAATTGTGCGTAGATCAGTTGGTGTTTGATGACATGAAGTCAATTGCTTCCGAGACATCATCATCGGTCGGAACCCTGAACTTTTCGTCTGACTTGATGTCAAAGATTGTCTTATTGCCGTCAAAAAAGCCTTGATCAGTTGCTATAACAATAGTATTGAAACTGATGCAAACGAGGACTAGGTCAACCATATATCAATCAGCAAACAGTTCAATCAGTCAACTTACGCTCGACGATAAGCCCGGTTTTCACCACGAAGTTTTTCGAGCTGTTGATCTACCCAAGCCCAATGGGATTGACCAGGACGCAACTTTCGGTCGACTTGGTTGGTGTAGTTATATATCGCAGCCTCGATTCTCTACAGCGGAAACAAGATTGACCATGCAATAAAACTTGATGTAAGAGTTTCAAAAAGGCTGACCAGATAAGCAAATCGGGCTTTGGCCTTTGGGTCCATATCAGTGTCTATTTCTTTTGCTGTGCGAGGATCTTGTGGATTGAAAAAGCGAGTCAACTGTAAAACCCATTATGATTGACAAAGAACCAAGAATTTGAATGACTTGTATTGTGTAGAGGAGATCAAATCTTGACTGACCAGTAAAAGCAATTCGGAAAGCTTTGGGACCGGCTGCGCAGGTTCATCTACGTTGGAGTGAGTGACAAGCATATTGTTCAAGAGCTTTCGAATAACAAAGTTAGTCAGCTAGATCATGGGAATCAAGATAGATGGACGTACAGCAATTCTAAAGTCATCCCGGACATGCCTCACTTTGGCTCCAAAAAACTTCATGAATGCTTCATGTCGTTTCAGATCGGTCAACGTGGTTCCAAAGTCTGGAGGTAAGTTTTCGGATTTCCATGAGGTTGATTGGTTGAATATAGCGTTCTACATGTGTAATTGAAATCAGTGGCTGAAATTAAGATGAGTATGTATAAGAGAGACGTACCATAGCTATCTTTTCAAAGGATCTTTGTATCAACTTTTTGTTTGAGTCGACTTTGTATGTGTACGATTCCATCGTATGGTCTTGCAATGTTTCACGTATGATCTTAGTTAGTCGAGTCTGGGAATAAAGATGTTCAGTACACTCATCGTAGATTCAATCAAATGACCTTACCCCCAAATCAGCGGCAGGCTTCCAGCTGGCAGTCGAACGGAGTTGGGCCACCACGTTGTCCATATCTTGACGTGTCTTCTGCAAGAGGCAGACTGATGCATGATATTGGTTTTCAGAGCCTGTGATCTAAAACAATATCATGCTTCAGTAACCAGCGTAAGTTGTCAAACAAAAGGTGGCTCACTGAGCTGATTCTGAGTGCTTCTGCTCAATGTTTCGAATTGAGTTCGAAAATGTCAGCAATCTGGTTCCATTGAGCTCGATCTGCTCGTGCCATAGGTAGGTTAGTTGAAGGAATTCCGGGCTGGGCAGACCGAAAAGGATCTCGATTGGTGGGATCCAAAGGTGGAGATTGATGAGGTGGAGACGGTGTAGGTGTAGGAGAATGGGCGGTTTTTTGGGGTCCGAGTTCCATTTCTTCATCACTATCGTTCTCTTCTTCCTTCCTACCACCTGAAGAGAAACACAGTTAGAAAGGCTGGATACTCAGATAACAGATACAAAGCATACCATGGTTATCGGTGTTGCTTTGAGAAGTGTTGGAGCCAACAAATCTCAAAGACGCTGGAAGAGCTTCGGCCCTTAAAGCTTTGCGATTCCACAACTTGCTTTAGACAAAGATGAAAGCACAAGCAGGCGAAGGACTTACGTGGTGAAGCCGAACGTGAATCACGGGTTCGCAAGGTCGGACGTTGGGAATCTGGCATGATGTTTGCTGCGAGTTGAGGATTTGAGCAAAAGGGAAATAAGTGAAAAAATTTGAAAGTCAACAGAGGTTGAACGATTGTGAGTTGTTCAATCGTTCAACCTCTCAAAGCTTTATTTGAAATGTGCAGGGCAGCACCGCGAAAGGTCTCAAGTGCACCGCACTTGCTGCCTTCATGGATCAGTCACTCTGAGATAAATGGGACAATTGGCTCTGCTTATCAACTTCAACAAAAGCGATGATATTGATATCATCTTCATTCAATCCTTGATCATGATATCTTGACTATTTCGATTTGACAACACTTGATCAGTTAAAATCTTCGAAACATAGTTTAACACTTTGAATCGAGTAGCTTGTGCTTGTACCAACAGATGCAAGTTCATCAATTTTACAAAAAGTAAAAAGACAAATTGTAATTTCATGGAGTCACAATAGCTTTGGAAAATCAATCTGATTCAAGTCTCAAATAACGCCGGGTCAATATCTTGACGTGGTTCAATATGCTCATGTTTCCTTTTCTTTCCTTTCCCTTGTTCTTTTTTTTATTATCTTTCGTCGTTTTGTCGTGTTTGGCTTGATCTTTTTTGGCCTGACTATCTTTCCAGTTGTTTATACCCTTCTCAATACATTCCTCCCATTCCTCACTTGTCCATTGAGTGTATCTGATGTTTGCGACAACTCGATGATCTTCAGCTGAGTACAGCGAACCCGAGTTCAGGATGTACTTGTTGACTGCCTTATGTTCGATTTGATATGGTGATTTAACTGGCATTTGTCCGTCGTGTCTAGGAGGACTTGCCAGTGGCTGACACTTGGACAAATGGCAGTTGTGCTGCACATTCAGCACACACTTTATTTTCTATAAAACGTATGAAGTATTTCAATTCAATGTTTGTGATTTTTTTTTTATTCAAAACACGCACCTCAACAGGAATCCACAAGATTTCTTGAGTGACAGTCAACCCACGGAAACCATAGAAATTGTCAATCTCCTCATTCAAGCGGCAGACCTTGACCTTGGCCAAAAATTTCAAACTACTCTTGCAACGTCCATGCCAGAAGGTTTCAATTTGCCCTAATTTTGGAGTGTTGTCACCGGGTAGCACCATTAAAATAAAGTTTTCCATACGGACGCGTTGGCCAGATCGAAGAAACACTTCTTTCTTTTGTGACCAGTCAAAATTAGGGAATGCTTCTTTGATATCACTCGGCGCCAAGTTTTCATTCATGTTACCTATAGCAAGATATTCAGCATATTAAAATCATGATTCAAACACGATTTGACGTACCTTTCATTGAAATTGAGCGTTCGGAATTCCAGTCTTGATTATAAGCCAGAGATTTCCGGACCCATTCATTATTCAAGAATAATTTGACTACTTCTTTTCCTGCTCGTGCTCGACACTGATACTTCTCATCCCAAAATGAGCCACCAGATAACAACGTTCGCATCAGACATGCAAAGAGAAAGGTTGTTGCAATGTGTAACCCAGGATCGTGACGGTTCGAATGAATTGAAGCCAAGCGCATTACACCATTGAAGCTTTCGTTTTTTTCTGTTGCAACTAAACACAATGGGCCAAAAGGTTTGATTGATTCGACAAGGTGGACCAACATATGGAACTTCGGTTTGTTCGTCCACTGTGCTGTCCATCGGATGATGTGTCCAAGGAATATATTGACCAATATTGTCAGTTTTTTCGCGTAGGAAGAAAAGTCGGTAATGCTGGTTTGAAATATAAAGGAACATAGATGTGATAATGCTGTCCACATACGCCGTCTCTCGTAGGAGATATGTTCATACAATACAAAAGGTACTGCTTGTATGATGGTTCGAAAATCTTTTCCAACTAAGCTCTGGTAGAATTGAGTCATCGTCTTGGGTTGAATCGGTGGAACATTCAGGCCAGACGTATCGAAAGATTTCCATCGAGCTAAAATTGAAGGCAGTGCGGAATCCGGAACACTATCCATCGCATCCCGGAACAAATACTTAATAACCCCGAGTAAAACAACATGGAGAATTTCGACCGGTGTATCCTTGTGTGCGTCAAAGCCTGAGAGAATTCCGTCAAATTTATACAATAAAGATCAATAAGAGAATGAGATAATGAGGATCATACCTCGCAACCGCAAAAAGGGGTTGAACAGATGTTCACCAAATTTTTCATTGAGATCGTCGAACATCTTTTGAACCTCTTCATTTGAATATTCTTTGTCTTGGTGTAGCTCATGAAACCACTCGACAAACTGAACATTCATTGTGTCACGAATACCATATTCCTTCGCTTTCTTCACAAATTCAGTGTATTTTTTGGGATTGCAAAGAAGGTTCCAAAGTTCCACAGTTCGTTCCTTTGTCAGAGCCCAATCGCGCGGCCTAGGACCTCCCTGAAAATATTTCCAAGAATGTTAAAATGTTAAAATCGTGAGGGTTTTTTTATAAAGATGAAGTAGACATACATTGCCTTGATCTATACCCACAAAATCTCGAGTATATTTCGAATCTCGTTTTTCGGCAAGAGTTTCAACACTCAACATACATATCCGACAAGGGTTTAATGTAACTGATGGATTTGTCGTGTTCGTGATCTCTGCGTGCATAGGAGAATCACCGAGATGACAGAGGGGAACAACCATGACGAGCACTTCTTCATCCAGAATTTCGTCGTGAGTGAAAAATCCTTCGGTGCCAAGTGTGCTGCGTAAGTAGAGAAACAAAAGAAAAGTAAGCTACACTATCAATTTGAAAAATTGGTTCATAAATGAGTACTTCAATTCGTCTACTACGTGATCACCAAGTTCAAGAGCGCTCGATTTATTTGATGTAGCAAGAAAGTGAATGTTGTACTCCTGATTCGTCATTCCAGGAGGTAAACCGGATAATGTGAAATAATAACTCATGTGTTTATTCCACTTTTTTGAAACATTTCCGGAAGTATCATCTGAATACAGTGTGATCGGGACGTGTCGAATCACTTTACCATTTGCTTTAGTTCGCCATGGGTTCGGCAGAGGTATCTCTTGGTACTGATCGCCATCAAGATTACGTTCTGTTTGTATACCGTACCAAAAGGATCAGACCAAACAGGAAGTGTCAAAAGAAGGAAGTGTCAAAATTAATCACGTACAATACATTACACCTCCGCATCGTTCCTCCAGAGAAAGACCATTTTCGTCTTTTGAATCTATGAAAGTTTTTCTAAGAGAATCAATTGAAACTGTCACCAGCAAAGGAGAATCAAACTCCTGGTGTGAATCAACAAGAATTCTTATTCCATGATTAATACCCTGAGATACAGTTGAAGCCTTCAAGCATTTGGCATAAGCTTGCCCCGACTGCTGAAAGAAGAAAATTGGGACAATTAACTGTCCTGAAGATTGACAAACCGGCTCATAAAGGAAGAAATGTCCGTTGACAGAAGGAATCATTTGCACTCTCTGTGTGCGAGAGAATCCTTCCAGCCATTTTTTGGACTGAGATAATCTATTGATCTGAACATTATTGTTGTACTCCGGAACAAAAACTAAATGCTTTGTGACAATTGGATTAGCAAGCTCCTGAAGGAACATGTGATTATCAGCAAGGATTAAGATATGAAGGAAATTTAACAACAACACAACGCTTACCTGAGCTACAATCTCCTTTATACTCAGTCCATAACATTTATTTTGAAGAGCACTTTCCCAATTGACAACATTAAGACCTAAGCGTTGTGGTGATCTATTTATGACATTAAGCAAAAAATTAATCATCTTTACTTTACCAGTTTATTAGCAAACTTCAATATAGCAGAGAATTCGAAATTCAGGTTTTCAGATCAATTGAAGCTCTTAGAGGCTTATGTATACTTATTGGATCATTATTATGTCATCTTATTTCAAAAATATTATTAAGATCAACATAGTTTACTTACAAAGTTATTACAAAAAGACAGAAAAAGAAAAGATAAGAAAAATTCGAAAATATAGGTGTAAAAGTTGGAAAATGGTTTTTAGCTTATTTATAATTAAGTTATGGGTTTTATAAGGTTAGAATATGAAAGAACAGCAGTTTATTATACAGGAACAATTTTAATATTCAAGGTTGATAAGGGGAAACAGAAGTTATTAGCAGAAAGGTACTTTTTCGAAGTTGGTAAACAAGGGTTAGGCGTGTAGTTTACATATATAATGGTGGTAGTGATGGAATTTAAGGTTGCCAAGAGGATTTTCCGGGATTTTTAAGGTTATAGAAGATGATTTCATATTACATGAGCAAGGAAAAGAGAGTAGCAGCTGTGAAAAGTGAAGAAAACAGGTGAAAATCGGCGAAAATGGAGGTTTTCAGCTAATTACATATGTCAAATGACGTCAGAATAAGTTGGTAGATGGCTCATTCAACGCAGAAGAGTGGATTACATAATGTAAAACCTTTAAATCATTAGTAACGGAGGTGTATGTAAAAAGTTATAAGGGAAATAAGAAATTGGTGTGAATCTCGAATTTACAGTCACAAGACACATGTAACACCAAAAACCTTAACTTCACAACTCAATATCTTACTCATCACTCATCAGAAATAGGTCTTATAGGTGTCAGAAATGATCAGTAACACGTGGGCTACAAGATGCACTTTAGTAATCAAAAATTGGAGCACATCTGAAAAAATTCGTAATCTCAAAAATTGGGTTTCAGCTAGTTTACAAGGAAAAAATCACCTGTATTCATCTTAAGAAGTGCTGTACATTACATCATTGCGTCATTGATCACTTTTGGCTGTGAAAATTACATCATACATTAGTAACAAGATCATTACATTGCGTCATTACATGGTTTTTAGGGTTATTTAGGCGGATTTGATTGGTTTTTGAGGCTGTTGACTGTTGTAAAGATTGTTACATTTGGATATAAGTACTCCTTGATGAATTTGGGATTGTAGCGCCCTTTTCTGCATCTTATACCTTTGTTGTAGTGTTATAAATCATCATTTATTTACTATATTTGTACTAAGATCACTTAAATCCGCCCCTTCAAAGCAAGGAGAAATTTATTTACGTGTGTTAAAGACTACAAGTCTAATTGGGAATAATACTTACAACAGTATTGCTAGTAATAAACATAGTGTGTGACTTTTTGCGCTTAAAATCTGGGAATAATACTTAACAACAGTATTGCTTTATTTCTCTGGTGCCTTTATCTTTTTCTCTGTTATCACAAAGTGGTCAGCAAGTGCCCTTGTGCTGGTTTCTTTGAAGAAGGCAGTCTTTAGGCAACTTCTACTATATTACACGTAGTAGATTATCCCTTCTTTGGTGTTGTAAAGCTCTTGTTGAGCTTTAAATACTACAGCGTGTACACATTTTTGATCTCAAGTTTCGTAAAGTCTTGAATGCTGGTAGGACCACATTAAACATGCGTAACACAAAGCGAGTACGCTCGTACTGCTGTTCAGAAAGAATATGACGACCCGACCCCAACAGAACCAACCCCGCTATCTGCTTTTGAAACGGATTAATATTAAATCAATATGTTGTTACAATCAATTATGAAAGAGGAATGTTGAATACCTCTTTTTGAAACGGATACCAGTCAGAATCGAAAGTGTTTTTATGTTGATTGATTCCACTTTGTTCATCTTTTTCAGCCGGATCTTCCGAATCAGATATTGATCCATGTGAACCTGAGTCGGTCTGACTGAGATTTTCCTCGTTATCTTCTTGTAGTCGTATTCGTAGAATTTCTTCAAATTCAGGATGAGGAAGTTCCGGAAAGTCTTGCTGATCTTCTGAACGGTTGGTATCACTGTCATCACTATCAACGCCAGCTAACATCTTCATCAATGTCTCAGTATAACCGACAGAAGTCGGCTCAGGTGTTGTTTTATCATCATCCTCAAAGCCCAGAAATTGGGGTGCATCGTGATTGGTCTCATTATCATTTTGAAGGAATGAGCCTAGATGACGCTCATTTTCGCGGGTTCGAGCTTCCGATGCTTCCTCATCAGCGACCATAGCCTTGTGAGTTTTGGAGTTCTTATGGCAAGAGGTCTCTTTCATTCTTCGACCTTTGCACAGGATACACCAATATTGGAAGCCACCCTGTATCGGTGTGCGTTCAAAATCTATTACATGCATCTCAGAATTGTAAGAAACCGGTTTGAAGGTACAAAATCAACTAACACTGATCTACAATAGTCCCATTAGGCGATGCCATGATACAAGGAAACTCTGAGATGTGGTATGAAGAGGATTGAAAGTTGAGTTTATAGTATGAGGCACAAGGTCTGTAAGATATTCATGAGTTTGTCAGCAAACTATACGAATACGAACAGACACGGAGACGGAGACTTTGAACTCAAAACGTACCAAGATTTGTTGTGAAAGGATGCGATGTTTGATTCGGAGTGAGAAGGCTGATTAAGGCTGAGCGACACCAAGCCGGACTGGAGATAACGTGAGGTTATCACGTCACAGCTGACTGGAGTCCGAAGTGCGGAGCAACAGTTAGATGTCCGAGGTGTGCCTTGAGGACAACCTCAATTGGACATCGGTAGGCCTTTCATGAATGCAGAGCCCGCATCTGAGTCCTGATTGTTACATCCCTATTGCATCTGAAGGATGCTGAGCGGATGTAACGGCCTCTGGATGTTGAGGCTTTGTCCTGTATGTTCTTGGAGCCAAAAGGTCCAAAAATCAAGTTTTGACACAATGAGGCTTTATAAGAGCTATATGGGGTCCTTGCAATATGCATAACACTAGATGTACATACAGCTGTTCCAAGAGATTGGAAATTTGTAAAAAGGTCATCAGAACAGAAAATCAAATGAATGTAACTGGTTTAACTTAACCACACCTGATGAACAGGTTAGCCACAACTTGGCTATGTAAAATATTACTAACTAATGAGAAAGTGATGTTCTCACCACTTGCCATGAAAGCCAAACAATGGTTGTGAATGATTTAGCAGATGTATTGTAAAAATGTACACATGAATCATCACAAGGAAACATGATCTTTATTGACCAGGTACACTTGGCTCAGAGTCTTGTGCTTTAGTAGCAGGGTTTTCATTTCTAGAGTGGTTTTTGTATTTGGTATCCGCAAAAGAATTTGATTAGAGTTTGGGTGACCTGCTACAGTATTTAACTTGCTTATGAGTTTAATAAAAAAGCTTTCTGAGTGAGGAAGGATTGCAAGAAGATACAACACCTTATCCTAACCCAACACCTTTCACACAGGTATAGCCACACCTCCCCCCTCAAGACCATAACTCTTAGTGTTCTTTTAATTTTGCAAAGTTGTCTAAAATGGGAAGATTCAAAAAGACCAAAAATCAAATGGGTTTTTATGGTTTTTTTATGTGGGTTTTTGCAAGGGTTTGTTGAGAAAGTCTTGGAACCCAGTCTAAGGTTGGGGAAGGACAAATGGGCTCACTGGAGTCTTATTCTGGGTCTGATACAAATAATAACTAGGAAGTCTGCTTTTCATAGATGGGGTAATAAGTACCTAAGTTGGGGAAAGACAAATGGGTTCAGAGTCTTACCTTGGGCCTGATAAAGATTACAACTAGGAAGTCTGCTTTTCATACATGAGGAAATAAGTACCTAAGTTGGGGAAAGACAAATGGGTTCAGAGACTTTTCTTGTGTCTGATAAAGATAACAACTAGGACTAGAATAAATTACCATAGGTCAGATCTCAAGGTCACAAAGATCAAGAATACAGAATAAAGAAAATACTTCACTGACAGTCGTCTTTTCATAGATTCAGAAGAGAGGCCTGATGAAGGATAGATTATTGTTTTATGTATATACAGTAGTTAACATCTACTTTGTACTACCTTCCGACCAGCCAAATGAAATCTTGTTTTTGAGATCGAAAATGACTACCTCAATGACTACCTTTTAAGTTGATAACTAGACAACACCTGTACGTGTACAAATGCACGCAGTGTATTGGACTATACAGATGCACTTACTGTCGCATTGAGTCCGAACACCGCGCCTAGATGTAACTAGATGTCAAGATACATCTAGGGTCACCTCAAAAATCGGCCAAGTCATGACTTTACATACCCCTCACAGAGAACCCAAGGTATACCTCACCACCCACCTCACCACCACCTCACCACCCACCTCACCACCCAACTTACCACCCACCCAACCACCCAACTTACCCACCCACCACCCATCTCACCACCCAGCTTACCACCTACTCGGACCTTGCACCACCCACCTCACCATCTCAACTCGGACACCTCACCATCCCAACTCGGACACGGCACCACCCACCTCACCATCTCAACTCCACACCACCCACTTCACCATCTCTCACATCGATTTCCCTCACCATCTCGTCGGCGACCAAACACCCATGAAGATGACTTCAAACATTCGCAAAGACACCCTTCCAGTCCTCAACACAACCATTCCAGCCCCACCACCCATTACCCTACCTGGACCGACCCTCGACTCGATGAATAACTACGTCAAAGCCTTTGCACCACCTCATGGATACCTTATCTCAATAGGCCGATCATCCCTAGTTCAAAAGCCTTTCTGTAATTATAGGAGCCACCGTGGCGGGTTACCAGAAGCTTCCAAGGATCCGACAAAGGAATCGAAGTCTCTCAAGATGGAATGTCCATTCAATCTCAAGGCTCGATATTCACCAAGCACACAGATGTGGACACTTTCACACATTGTAACAAATCACAACCACGATCCCAATTTTGATATCCAACGTCAGCCAACGGCACAAACGTCTTCCAATCCATCCGAAATCGACGTCAACACTTTTCTCAGATCACTTGGCTCAAAGATCAAAGCTTAAGTACCGCAAAGCAACACAATATCATCACTTCAATCAATGACCTGTGCGATGCACCAGTGTCAATACTC